CAGTTAACTACCCTGTAAAAGTGTGTAAGGCAAAAGAAGATAAAGATTAAAATGCTGTTCAATAAAGTGTTGCTGGATATGGAAGAAGCTCCATGTCTCCTCACGGGCTTTCCGAATGTCTCTAGTTGGTGGTAGTAGATGCAGTTTGCTGGCTTTAAATGGGAAAATTATTTTGAAGGTATCATATTGTTAGTACTTCATACAAAATGTTATTGTGGTAAGAAAAACATTAGTGTATGGATGTAGTAGTGTTTGGTTAGTTGGACAAATCTAAGCACACACGTAATGAATGAAACTCTACCTGCTTATAGTGTTACACCGACAAACTCATTTCATGTGCTGACAGTTGAAGTTAATTTCTGATTAATCAAGTTGAAGTTAATTTCTGATTAATTCTTTCCAAAATCATTTCAGTTAAGCTTTTAAATGGATCCTGTGATTTTTATAAAATAAAGATTATTTTTTTTTTAATTTCAGAAACATTGACTCCTCTCTTTATTTCACATGTGTTGTAATGATGAGATATATTAGCATGTTTACAATACTGCTGTTTAATAAATATTCTTTTTCCTCCAATATATACAGCATCTGTGTAATGATAGATAGCTTAAGTATAATATAATTGCTTCATTTTTGCTCTTTGTTTTGCCTGGGCAGACATAATTTTAGAAGCACCTATTTTACGGAGTCTCAGTCACTTGAAGGTACAAGAGGAGGCATTGTCTGTATCCTGATTTGAAAATGCTGAGCCAGCTCATTTCCAAGGCTTTGTGTTTTTCGTGATAGGTAACTTGGAAAAGAAAGGAGTGTAAGGAGTTGCCCTGCATTTTGGTGGACACTAGCATAGTTTACTAAAGAGGTCTGAGATTTGAAATACCAGTGTTGAAAAAAAGTCTTTTATGCCTCAGTTTTTACTTTTTCAGAGCAGAAACAACATTGTTTCCTTGCCTTTTTTCGAAGTGCGAAGTGCTTTCAAAGTGATGAGTGAAAAAGTGGGATAGCATTGTTAAATATTTAGAAATCCAAATGAACCCTTTGATAGGAATATGAAGATGTATGTTAAAATGTAAGAAGCCAGAAGTGTGATGAAGTTTTAAGTTGCGTTATCTGTTTTTTATCTCAGTCTTGTCAGAGATACCATTATTCATTTGTATTGTATGTGCTAATAGTATTATGTACACATACTAGTGTCACTTATATTTACATATCCAAAGAATATTTACACAAATACCAGAGCAGATATGGACTGTGTGTTTAGATTCTGAATTTTAAAATATTTACTGCACTGTATGTATGAATTTTCTGTCTGAAAAGCAGAAGGGGAAAAAGCAGAAGGGGAAAAATCTGAAGGAATTTAAGTTAATGTAATCTTTGATTCATTATATGAAACTGTTTTCTCCCTGACGATTCCTTTAAAGTGGTAATAAATAACTTAAAATAGTTTTATTTTTCTTTACTGATTCTGTATTTCCTAAATTTTGTATGTTCATCCTATCCTCATAGAATGTATACTTCATTAGGTGAAAATGTTGTTGTTCCACAAATAGGGTTTCTTAGATGACTATGTTTATTACTTAGTTCTAATACTAAGTTATTAGAACATAGTGTACAACTGGGAGAGTACTGTGCTGTATACAACAGGAAAACTAGTAAATAGTTTTAAGAGTAAAAATTATTCCAAGAATTCTTTGAAATGATCAGAACTAATTTTTTATGGAAAATGGTTGGTAAAGATGCCATTTTATCTGCTGAAATAAGAAAGGAGTAAGGGGTGGTATGGCTGAAAGCACAGTTTGAATAGCCTCTATAAACTGCTGCATCTTCAGAATTAAGACAGGAAAAGTAAATCATCAAAGATTTCTAAGCAAGGCAGCCTTAAGACATGAGAGTTTAACTGTGTAGAATAAACTAGTTCAGAAAACAAAATTAAGAAATACAATACAAATTATTTAGTATGTAAAACACTCATAATTTTGCAATTTACTAGAATTTATTATTCTGCCATTTGTCTGTCCTATTTCTCTTGCTATAAGGGCAGGAAAAAAGTGTCTTTCATCACACCAATAATCAATCCAAAAGAGGACTGTCAAACTGCTTTAAATTTAGGTGGTGGTCCTACCACAAGAATTAGTGATAGAAAGTTGGCAGCATGTTACGATTGACATCGCTTGCTCTCCATTTCTCTGTCACCCACTAAACTTTGTTATCCTCCACTAAACCTACATGATTGGTTTTGGCCATGAATTAAGTAAAGGATGATCAAAGGCAAAAGTTCAGTGTCTTGCAACAGCTGGTTTGTCTGCTTTCACTCCTTATTAGCTAATAGTGTCTGAGCTTGAAGTCCTGCTGCTGGAAAAATGCCCCAGTTTAATCTTGATAATTTAAGAGTGTCTATAATAGTCTCATAACTGATAAAGAGGATTTAAGCGTGTATAATATAAAATATGAAATGCTGTGATAACTTTGGGGAACGAGACATTTGTGCTTGAATCCCATTCTTAAGAGTTTCTCTACGAATTCTGAGAATTTGGATCTTAATACACTGAATGAATTTTATTTATTGAAAATCAATAGGTAAAAGTGCCCACTAGATTTAAAAGGATGCTATCTAATAGACACTAAAGAGTGTTAGTCTAATATAGTAGTAATATAATATATGGTTAGTGACAGAAAACATTGAATAAATGACAACGAAGCATATTTAATTTTAAGTAGGAAAAAATTAGATGTATGTTTTGTGGAGCTTACAGGGCTGCCTCTGTTCTCCTCTCGTACAAAATGACCTTCCCCGACTCCTGCTGTGGCGATTTTGGAACTGCTCGGTAATTCGTGAATATGCTATGTTGACATGGCTAGTAGGATGTTTACATTTGAATACAGTCATACAGCTTAATGGGTGCTGTCAGGAAAGACAAGCAGGAAGGGGAAGGAACAGTCAAGATAAGCCACATCTCCACAAATACTTCAGAGCTCTTTCTTACAGAATTAAGCCAGCTCAGGAAAAAGCTTGGCAATACATGCAGTCGAAAGAATTCTAGCTGGTTTTGTAAAGCAACATAGAACCAAGACTGGGGGAGGGAGTTGTCTCAGAGAGCGGGACAGACCCACAGCTGAGCTTCCTGGGTTACCTTTGGGAGGGAGGCTTTTAGACAGACGTCTATGTTTGTTTATCTTAAAGACCTCTTTCTAGTAATCACTTTCTTACTATTGTTTAAATAAAAGAAGGGAAATTTGTTTTATCACTGTACTTGACCGGGAAGATTCCCGATTCACATCATAGAATACGTGAGGCTGTGCAACCAGCCCTGTCGCTGCGAGTTCTGCCCCAGAAGACCAGGCTCCTTGTGATCACCACAGAGCAAATGCAGGCTGCATTAAAAATACTCCTTCCTAGGTAGCTACTCATACCCTTTGGGTATGGTTTGGACCTTTTAGACCCTAAGGTATTCAATGGATTACAGAAATTTTCCACTAAGAGAAAGAAGAAACAGTACCTAAATAGTTGAGGAGAAAGTAGAAAAAAAGTGATCCAGTTTTTTCTTGGAATCTTCTCCCAGCATACTAACTGCTTGGAGTGATGTATGCGTGCACTTACACAACAGTTTTCTGAGGTTGTCCAGCAGTTGGTTACAATTCCACCAGCCTATATGCAAATGACAATACATCAAAATTATTACCTAAATATGCACAAATAGCATGTTCTTTATAGGCCGTCAAGAGAAAAATATGCTTAGCATACAACTACTACAGCAGAATATTAATGACAAACGTAACACGGGGTAGGACCTTTGAAAAATCTCATTAAAACATACCCAGGTTGTATATTAACAGTGTAAAGACAAAAGCTAGCATATTTCTTAATTTATTTGGTACGCAATTCATTATCTGCATTTTACATGTGATAAAATTAAGATATGATTCCCTGTGAACAACATGTAACTAACCTGAAGCAATTTTATTTTTTGGTTTACACATTGCGAGCAATGTCTGTTTAAAAAGCAGCAAATTTAGCTTGTGTTATTTTGGATTTTGAGTATAAAGTTGTTTTATTCCTGGAGGGAAAATAATAAGCTAATCTGTCTTTACAAACAAGAACATACATAGAAAGAAGAGTCCTAATCCCAAACCAAATAAAAAGAAATAGACCAAAAAGGCATCTTAGCTCATCTAGCTATTGGAGAAAAAAAAATCTTCATGTGGAAAACTGTCTAAAGCTCTCATGTCAAAAACTTTCCTCAAGGAGGTAAAACATCAGCAAAAATGAACTGAACAGAAAAATCCTCTGGCAATATTTTGTTGTTGCTCTAGTTTTGCTGATTTCCCAAGATAAGCAAGGTTGGATGTGGTTAGTGCTTGATCACAGGATCTTTCAGGTAGAAGCCAGGATCCCACGGTGGTCTCACTTCCAGTGTTGTCCTTACCAGGAAATTAAGGGGCTATAGACTCCAGCCTTTCAAATCTGAGCAAAAGGAAACATACCAATTGCTTGCGGTTGTTAAGAAAGATTTTTCTGAGATTAGAGGTGATAGCCCTGATGCCATACTCAGCTGGAATTTGATTAACAAGAGAGGCTTTGTCTAGATTTTCTTTCCATTTCAGTTGTATACAGTATTTCTCACTTTCCACGCTGTTGCCATAAATAACCTATATTAGAGTCTCAGAGAACAGCGGTGCCTAACCCAACCCACACTAACCACGGCTTTTGTTGTAGCAAAGGCACATGCTACTATGTAAGACACCAAAAGATTTTCATCTGGCTTGACCCATGCCAGATTAAAATGTTCTGATAAGCATTGCCTGCTCTAGGCTAGCCTTCCTCTAGAGAGTATGAGTTGCATTAAGGATACATTTTTATCTACTCATCTCCACTACCCCCCACTGCCTCCCCATGCACAGCAGTAGCATGCAGGAGTCCGACTCTGAAGTTGTTTTCCTGCCTACATGATGACTTCTCCTTCCTCTGCACGCACATCCCACGGCTTCAGGGAAAAGAATCCCGGATGGAGGGCCTTAGATCCTCCCGTGCAGTGACCCGTGCCCCTGTTGCAGAGCCCAGGCTGTATGTTTGTAAAGAAGGCTTTATAAAAGAAAATGATGCAGAAATTCCATGTGAGCAATAAGGTTTACTCTGAGCCACTGCAAAATATTTACAAGAAAAACTGCGATGTCTGAGGACTTGAAGCTGAATTTTGTATTTCAGACAGCCGCTTCATCTGCGGATACAAGTCCGTTTTGAAGAGCAAATCCTGTAATGGCCCAATTTATCTTTAAATGCTTGTGGGTTTGGATTTTTAGGAATCGCATCACCTCTGTTTCTATTGACTTCAAATTGCTGTGTACAGGAAAAACCAGAAGCTAATGGAAACCAAACACAGCTATGTGTGAAACACCACTTCCATTTTTCAACATTTACTGTTCTAGCAGCCAAGAATTTCTCAAATTTATGAACTCCTCTCAAAATCTTGAACATCAGTTAAAGAAAGCTACTAATGCCAGGGAGGTCCTCTGGACGGACACGAACCTGAACGACCAAGGCAGCATGTGGGCGATGCCAGGGAGGGTGAAGGGCCGGGAGCGCGGAGAGGACAGCGAGGGGAGACCCGGGCCGCGGCACCGCCGCCCTTCACCTCAGCCTCGCGCCTCCCGCCCAGGGCGTTCTGCGCACGCGCAGCCCGGTGACAGAGTGGTGCCAAGCACGTGCGCG